CAGCTTCCAAAAAGAGGCTATGCAACACTAACCTTACACCCACCAGCAAATCCACATCACCACATCACCACATCACCCAGACCATCCATTCTATTCCAAACCATCAAATCACAAGCAGCCAAGCCCCTTACTATGGAGAGCCAAGCTCTCCGTGGCAAGGGGGTTTCTCGGCGTACAAGAGTTTATTATTAGCTATGTCCACTGTTCATAGGTATTCATAACCATTACCAATCCATCCATCTCATCTTGTGCACTATATAGATCTGTAAAAGCCAAGTCGGGTTTTAAAATAATAGAGAAGATATCATATCATATCATATCTAAAAATTTCATCCTACTTGAATAATAAAAAGCCATCAAAAGTAAATTCCCCTACCCCAACCCCTGATATAACCACGAGAGACCAACCCGAACCAAATTTCATCCCAGCATCGCTAACAAACTTCCAAACAATTCTTCAAGTTGAGTCCAGTGACTACTACAAGGAAACAGAAACTAGCATGCCATGTATCATAAACCATAAACCCTATAAAACTCCTCCCTCCACCCCTTTAAATATCCCTTTCCTTACTCTCTCATTGTTTAATTCTTTCTTGCGTCGTGTACTGTATTAATGATCTTCTCGACTACACTTGGATCAGAGAGCTAATATGAATATTAGTAACCAAATATTGGAAGAATGATGATGAATAAAACATACCGTGGAAATATCACCCAATTGATCCTCTTCACCCGCCAGAATCTTTCTCAAAATTCGACGCATAATCTTACCACTTCTAGTCTTTGGCAAATCTGGAACAACAAAGATTGCTTTTGGTGCAGCAAATGGACCAATACTCTTTCGGACTTGTAAGATAAGATCTTTCTTTAATGCATCGCTGATCTCGTTACCATCCTTCAGGGCAACGAAAGCATTGACTGCTTGTCCGGTGAGCTCATCGTTAATACCAACAACTGCGGCTTCGGCGACAGCATGGTGCTCAATCAGAGCGGCTTCGATTTCAGCAGTAGAGAGACGATGACCGCTGACATTGACAACATCATCAACACGACCTCGGATCCAGTAGTAACCTTCGTGATCACGTCCTGCTCCATCACCAGTGAACTATATCATGTTAGTAATCCGCAATAAGAAGTGAGTAGTAAATCTTACGTAGTATCCCTTGTAAACATTCAAATATGTGTCCATATATCTCTTGTGTGCACCCCAAACAGTACGAGCCATACTGGGCCATGGTTGTTTGAATGCTAATACACCCTCTACATCATTTCCGTGAATTTCTTCTCCGGAGACAGGATCGATAATCGCAGGCTCAATACCAAAAAATGGAAGAGATGCGCTACCGGGCTTTGTAGGGGTAACACCTGCGAGAGGGGCAATGACATGGGAACCAGTCTCGGTTTGCCAGTAAGTCTACACTTAAGTCAGTATTGATTTTGATAGTCAGATCAAAATGCTCTTACATCAACAACTTGAGCTTCCTCCTTTCCAACAGTCTCAAAATACCACTTCCAAACCTCGGCAGCAATTGGCTCACCAACTGATCCCAATACTCTCAAATGTTTCATTTGTGCCTTGACATGTTCATCACCGGCACGCTTCAGTAATCTAAGTGCAGTAGGCGCAACATAGAATTGTGTAACCTCGTGCTTCTCAATGACATCCCAATATCTGGAGAAATTTGGGTATGCTGGCGTTCCTTCGAATACTACTGTTGCAACACCCAAAAGAAGAGGAGCGTAAACAACATAGGTGTGACCTGTAATCCATCCGACATCACCACCACAGAAAAATTTATCCGAGTCGTGAATATCGAATACATATTTTCCGGTAGCTGCGGCACCTAGAAGATAACCGGCGGTTGAGTGCATAACACCCTTTGGTTTGCCAGTTGATCCAGAGGTGTAGAGTAAGAATAATGGATCCTCCGAATTCATTGGCTCTGGAGCAATATAAGATGGCCATTTCTCGACCTCCTCATGCCACCACCAATCACGACCCTTGGTCATTGGAACATCGGCACCGGTACGTCTGTAAACCAAGCAGTGTGTGACATCAGGACATTGTTTCAGCGCATCATCCACAATCTTCTTTGTGCCGATCAATTTTCCACCACGCTTACCCTCATCCGAGGTAATAACAACTTTCGATTGAGCATCAATAACTCTGTCTCTGAGGGAATCGGAGGAGAAACCAGCAAAGACAACAGAGTGAACTGCACCAATACGCGAACAAGCCAAGAACGCAATAACAGCTTCTGGAATCATGGGCAAGTATATCGCAACAGTATCTCCCTTCTTGACACCCATTTGTTTGAGAACATATGCTGTTCTGCAGACTTCTCGAAGGAGTTCCGCGTATGTAAGAGTACGACCATCGGTAGTCTCGTCGGCTTCGTAGATGATGGCTGGTTTGTCTGGATTCTTAATTGCATGACGATCAACACAATTGTAAGAAGCATTTAATTGACCCTCTAGGAACCAAGCATTGTCGCCGCCTGCTAACGATCCACTGTGAACGGTCTCAAAATCCTTTTGCCAGGTTAAAAGCTCACGGGCCATTCTTCCCCAGAACTTGTTGGGCTCCTTGATCGATTCATCGTAGAGTTTCTTGTATTCATCGAGTCCTATTACTATTAGTTTCCATGTTTACCGCCAAGAGAAAAGGGCAATTGTACCACTTAAGTGAGGTTTGCTTGGATGCTCTGTAGAGAATCATTAGTATTTTGCACTCATCAATTGGTATGCAACCTTTCGTAGGATGCAGAATTTAAAGCTTACTGGCAAACATCTTTTGCGGAGGATCTATAGGCGCATGACGGTCAGTAAATGTATATTTGGCACGGACATCTTGGAATCTCGACATACGGAAAGTGTCGACATCATGAGCTTCTGCTACTACTGGAGTAGATGGTTTTACTTTTCCTTCAGACATTGCTATGGTGTGGAAGTTGTTGTATCGCGAATTGATTGATATGTAAAAAGTTGAAGTGTAAAGGTCTAACGCCGCGAGCTTGGTATTTACTTAAAAGTGTTACCGCAATGCGGGGTCGTAGAAATGTGGTGTATTCTTTCCTTGTGAGCCCAATAATCGGTGACGAAATTCAATATGTTATATCGGGAACGGGTATCCTTTCAGAGGAGTGAATGGTGAGGAATGAGAAGATTGAATCAAGTGATCACAGTCTTGAGAGAAGAGGATGAAGAAGAAGAGGGTAGAAGTAGTCGAAGAAGAATGGGAATGTAAGATATTTGAACGGGAATCAGCTAGGTCTTTAGCTGTAAGTTGACTTCGGGGCAATGGACTTGTGTAGCTACAACACCCAAGGGAGTTTGTGTAATTTACCCCGGTTATTGATTTGCTGTATACTTTTCCCTTCCTCGTGATTGGCTTCTTTTGTTTTGTGTTACTGCTTAGTACGATACACATAGGCGTTATGATTTCTTGACTCCCTTTCCACCGAATCGCTAACCTACTAGGTGGAAGCGAATACACTCCGGCGGCTCCTAATACCAATTTTACCTATTGCGAACTAATTTAGATTCGACATTTCGGAATTCACTCCCCTTTGCAAGGCGTGGCTTGGTAGACTAGGGATGTGTGGGGTCAAGTGCATAAGCTTTGCGTTTTGTGGTAGGGAAAAGAATTGAAATGATTGATTGCAGATCTTGTGACAATCAGGTTGATTAGACGAGAGAATGTTCAATGTTGATGCATCTAGGGTTCTTCCAACACAATACATAGGCAATATATTTTCATTTTGGACGTTTTTCTCCTATCTAAACCTTCACAGATCTCATCATCTCTTCACTCCGGGCATCTCTTTTAGAATTTAGAACTCTTCAATTGTTCCTGGTGTCTTCGAATCTTGTCCCCACACAATCCTTCTTACTCAGGTCTGTCTCAAATCTCAAATCTCACATGTCCAATCATAATGTGTTGAAACCCAACAGAAAGGAATTTCCACTTTATCACCAGCTTAGTAAAGAGGAAAGTCCCAGACATCTCCAACTGGAAGCTCCCAAGCTTTATTGTGGAGTGAAAAGAGTGGGAATAGGTGGAACAATGTTGAGAAAGATCTTCCCTCGGTTCCTTGAGAATCTGATCTGCGATGCCGGCGTGTCGGCTTCGGCTTCGGTAGAGTAACAGAGTGGAGTGTGAGTGTGGTGGTATTCCATGAGACCTCATAACCGAACTTATCCAGAATAGACTCTAGAGTGCTGTATTTAGATTCTATAAAAATCAATTGGACAAATTGACATGTACTGATTTACAATAAGGGGCAGCTATTGCGAGAAGAGGAATGGTGCGTCATTCATTCTATGCAAATGGTCCCCTCAATGAAATTCGCTTTACCAAGGCCATATGGATCGTGAATGTGCTCGGGCAAGGGGCTAATTGGTGGTTAGTAGGTAGTTACTAGTCAACTGCGCTCAGCCTTTCGATTCGGACCCAAGGATTACAACCAATACTACCTCACTATAAGATCTTAGCCGCACTTACTATAGTATCCGTCTACTGTAGTATTGAGGCATGGCTATATCACGAGTTACCAAGTGTTTGGACCAAGAGTTTGGTACGCCGATTATCCAAATCCACCAATCTTACTAAGAAGCTGGTTCCAGAGCCAATGCTGCACTTCCCCATTGGGAACCTTGAGCATAATCCCCTACCGTGCTACATGACAGCTTCTCAATCCAGAATTAACCTGCTTTATCAAATATGGTTCTATGATAACCGGATGTGAAAATGAAATTTTCACGATTATGATAATCTATCTAATCATGCCCTGGGACAAGAATGAATGAATTATTTCGCATGCTACGCTACTATGCCGAAATCACGACGTCAATGACATATAATTTACCTATTCCACATGCCGTCATCCACGGACGGATAGTTCCACAGACAATAGAGCACCAAAATGTAACGGCAGAGAAATCTGACGTTATCCCAAGAGTTCCCAAGAACCTCCTCAAAGCTCCCAAGATATCAAAAAGTCTGTCACACATCACACGCATTTGCAGTCAACAACTCGAATAGTAACTCACTAATATACCAGGTAGGTAAGTAATCCAAACCAATAACACGCATAATAACCCAACAAACCCACCCCTCTTCCTTCCACGTTACACGACATGGGCCCCTAGTCCCTCATCCTCCTCATCTAGTCTAGCAGCACACCACGTGGAGTCGTGGACATCCGGGATATGGACTGGAATCAACCATATTATCCAAACGGTACCTGCGTATCTGTATCTTTCGGCTTTGAGCGAGATTCACTATCTGATATTTTTGGCCACTCCTTCTATCGATATCTGCCTACTCGTACATGGTTGAAGATATATTATGAATCCTTCGGCATCAGCGAGCTCTACTTTTTATTTTTCATGGGTTTGGCCGCTTGTCAGATAAGATTACCTATTCTTCTGTGAGTGACGGAGTCTAGGGTTCCTGATGGAGATTCGGAGAGCTGGTATTTGGTTTCTGTAAGGAGAGTACTCGAGTATGGTACTTGATACTTTTTTATTACAGTAGGTACGTACTAGACCGACGTTATGTTCTCAGACATAGAACTAAATCATGATTGTTATCCCCATCCCTTGAAACCAAAACATTAATAAATCCTAAGATCGAAATTCCCTATAGTATACAATCATCCCCCATCTCAAGCACCAATTCCACTACCCTCTCCATATCCCATCTTTCTTCTCGTATCGTCCGTTTCCTCCTTCTCTCCAACACCCCCTACACCCCTCGAATTCCCAACCGTTTCCCCTCCAAACCCATGCTCACTAATCGCCTCACCAAATCTAATATTCTCCGCCGTTTGCTCACCGCGCGCTTTATGTTCTGCGTTTTTCTGGAGCGTCGCTTCCGTGGGTCCTGTTGAGTCTATGTTCTTCTTGTTAGAAATGATTTGGATACAGCAGGTAGATATATATCGAGTGCAGGGTGGAAAATGGGAGGGAGAAGGAGAGGGGCCGGAAGATGAACAAGGACAAATAAAAATGAAAGCAACAGAAGAATTGATGTAAGATTACCTCCAAAAGTCCCCTGATCTTTCGCATGAGATTGTGTGAATGTATTCTGGGATTCATATCTAGGATCATTTCATCAGTATTTTCATCCTCTCGAGATTTTTACCCATCACTTCAGATATATATAAAATTGAAGGAAGGCAACTCACTGTGTATTTTCTCCTCCCCTCTCCGTATCCATCAATTTCGTATTCGTAGCTTCCGTCATTTTTGCCTGTCTCTCTGCTTGTTTATTTCTTCTTCCGTGTTTCTTTTCTTTCCTAACTTTTTCGTATCTTTCTCGTGTTAAGTCTCAAAACCAGCTTCCAAATAATCTCAATCAATTCAACAGATTGATAAATAGGAATGTATAAAAGCTGTTTACCTACCTAGCACCTAGCACCTAGTACCTATTTACTTGTTTACTGCTCACTACATACCTACCTAGCTAAATTGATGCAGATCAATAGTAATGACGTATGCGGGGATAAGGTTCTCTCCTCGACAATACGAGGTACGTACGTACCTACATTAACGCCAGGTGAGCATCATCATCATCTGCAATTTTTAGGAATTTTTGAGCGTTTCCGGTGAGCTCACTCTGAAGTTTGTTTCCGCTTACCTAGGTAGTAGGTAGGTTTTTCCCGTAAGCCTATGGCTAAGCTTCATCATTACCTCGGATATAGGAAAACCACCGGTGAGGGAGGTACCGTGGCTGAAATGTTATGCCGCAGCTCCGCGATGAGTACAGTTCTAATGATAAAAAAATTTGTGTTTCTTTTATCACTGCAATAGATAACTCGAATGCAGGGTGGGAGGTTTTCTTTGGGTATCGTGATATACAAGCAACAACTATATACATTCTTCGATTCTCTTTCTATGTCTTCGATCATCTCAACTCCACACCCAGTTTCCCTGCCAATTCCTTTTTAACCTCTTCATGCATTTCATTCGCCTCCTCATTCGTTAAAGTCCTCAATAGACTCCTATAATTAATCCTGTAACACATACTCTTCCTCCCTGTCTTCGGATGTGTAAATTCATCTACTTTCCTCACATCCTCTACTCTATCTCCTCCTATATCTCTTACTATCTCCATAATGTCATTTTCATGGAAATCGTGTGCATTGGCCGAATTACCACCTCCAGCTGAAGATGATGACCGTAACCAGAAGGAAACATCCTTATAACATGCCGGATGTTTTGAAAATGGAATAAATCTCTTCAAATTCTCCAGATTCTCAGAGACTCCTCTAAATTGGCTCAGAAACCTTTCATCCTTTGACCAGAACAATCGGATATCTGGAATTTCAAAAAGTAACATGGCAATCCTTTCCAGACCTATTCCGAAAGCCCATCCGAGTTGATCTGGTACACCTGCATTCTGCATGATATCCTGTTTAACAACACCACATCCAAGCACTTCTAACCAATCCCCTTGCCAAAATATTTCTAGCTCCCAGGATGGACTTGTGAATGGGAAATAAGCTTCTATCCATCTTACTTTCAATGGTTCATCAACGAACGTGGGATCCGCTTTTATGGCTGCTTGTCTTGCTCGCGAGAATATCTCTACCACCATTAACTCCAAACTCTTCTTGAGATGTGCCGCAATAGCTTCAGCTTCCGCCTCTGTATGTTCTCCTTGTAATGGATTCCTCTTTGCATGAAAGGTGGGATTCAAATCTTCAACTTTCACATTATGTCTAGGTAGTGCTTCGAAGTCCTTCCAAACAGCTGCTGCGATATCTCCATTTGGAACCTTCTTTCTATCCCATATTCTTGCACCTTCCATTTGGTGGAAAATAGGATAATGGCTTCGATCGATTGCATCTCTGCGATATACATCTGCGCTGATTAGGAAACCTTCGCTTTCATTACTGCGGAATACATCGGCTTGATGTGCACTTGTATGGGTTCGCAATACCGTTTCCTTATTAATATAGTATGTATCCGTCTTGCTTCTCCCAGAATGATCCAAAGGGAACCCTAGAGAATCGAAGTTTTGATGCGTAGATACTATAGGAAAGAAAGTGTTGTGGTATTTGTAGGTAGGCGATGGAAATCTTGATTCGATTATCGAACGAGTAATGGAAATCGGATGATCTTTGGTTGTGTGTAGACTTCGGGAGAGGGAATCAGTAATTGATTGTGGGACATTGTACCATTCATCTTTCTTATATCCTTTAGCAGAAATTAGGTCTGAAGGTTTAGACGGAAGGTCTATCGGAAATATGTCAGTCGTGCTTCAGTAATCGAGGGGTCGATTTGAATGTAACAAACCCGTCAGTGAAGAAATGTATCGGCATCGCCCGCAGACTCCCAAAGTTCTTGTGGCACCATTCCTCAAACCAATGAATGCTCTCAATACTTCATTGCCTTTTGAGAATGAGGACTTGTTCGCAGTGAGGAGCCGCATGATTACGATCTTCGACTCCAAGAAATTTCCTGATGGGGAAAATAGCTGTGAAATGCCAAACTTCCGGAAAATCCCTGGTTCCTGATGGCGGCCGCCTCGTCCCGATCCCGATTAATGACGAAAGACTACATTACGGAGGTACATCTACCTCCGTAAATACCTACTAGGTATGCACACGGCCATTCTTCATCCGTTCTAGATAATTTTGAGAGTCTTGGAACTATATTATTTGGACACCTTCAGATACCCCTCTTGCCCCCTATATATATCAATTGTACATACAGAAATACAAGAAACACAAAACATCTTTTCAATTATCATCATCAGTGTGAGAATCACCAGGTGCCTCAAGTACCAGGCATATTCACAAGCTAAAACCCTTTTTCTCCCTTTTACTATCTCACACTAAAAACACTAATAACATTAGCAATCAGCCCTACTTGAGTGCTTTCTGGACCTATCCACTTTTTCCACTATCTCTTCCCTGAATTACTCCGCCAATTATTTATCTTTTCTTCCATCCCACCCCTCGTTCTCAACTCCTGTGTTTACCTCTGAGAATCCGGAATGAACCTCGAGGAGAAACATTCAGAACAAGTGGAACAATGTCGAGTGGGAAACAAAGTGTGGGAAGGGTGAAGGCGGAGGTCAAAACAGACGTTGTGAAATATCCATTTTGGTTTGGGGGTAGCGCAAGTTGTTTTGCGGCTTGTGTTACTCATCCATTGGATCTTGGTATGTGAACTTCTCTTCTTGATGCAGGAAGTTGGCGCTATGTACGAATGTATACTAATTATACCGTAGTGAAGGTACAACCCCTTTCGCGTGAATGCGCAAACACCAATTCATGTCCATTGCCTAGTACTAAACAAATTACTTCGCCAGGTTCGATTACAAACTCGATCCGGCAATGCGCCAAAAACTATGGTTGGCACATTCGTGCACGTCTTCAAGCACAATGGGGTTTTCGGACTGTATTCTGGACTCAGCGCTTCTCTCCTCCGTCAAATAACATATAGCACCACCCGATTTGGTATCTACGAAAAACTCAAGACAAATTTCACATCAGGAAACAAGCCGCCCTCCTTCCCAATTCTTATCGCCATGGCCTCCACTTCTGGTTTCCTTGGCGGAATCGTGGGAAATCCTGCCGATGTACTGAATGTACGCATGCAGCACGATGCTGCTCTACCAGTCGAACAGAGAAGAAACTATAAAAATGCTGTGGATGGGTTGATAAGAATGACGAAAGAAGAAGGGTGGAAAAGTTTGTACCGCGGGGTATGGCCGAATAGTATGAGAGCTGTTTTGATGACCGCTTCTCAATTGGCTACATATGATGGCTTTAAACAACTACTTCTCGGGCATACACCAATGAAAGATGGACTCTCGACACATTTCACTGCTTCTTTCATGGCGGGATTCGTGGCTACCACAGTTTGTAGTCCGGTAGATGTTATTAAAACAAGAATTATGAGTAGCCATGAAAGTAAGGGATTGGCCAGACTTTTGACGGATGTGTATAAAGTAGAGGGTGTCGGATGGATGTTTAGGGGCTGGGTACCGAGTTTTATTCGCTTGGGTGAGTTTTAATTGCCAATCTTCTTCACGACTTAATCCAAAACATGAGAGGCATGAGGAGCATGAAAGAGGTGGGAACGCTAATGAAGAAATCATAGGACCTCAAACCATCGCAACATTTCTCTTTCTCGAACAACATAAGAAAATGTACCGATCTCTAAAGGGATTTAAAGAACCCGAAGCTACAGTCGTCTAAGCGAATTCCTCGAAATTTCTCTTTCCCACAGAGAGCCACACACCTACCTAGTCTGAATTTGTTCGTGGATTTCCCATCTATGCAGTGAAAAACAGTTGCTATTTTCAACTCCTAGATCTGATATGGGTAATCTGGTATGGATGTACCACCGAAGCCACCTACTTTTGAAAGTTTGGCTTAGGTCAAATCAAGCCAGACGACCACTATAACGAAATCCCTAAATTGACGCACTTGTATACCCTCTGCAAAACCTATATACCCTACGAACCTACATATCTTCTCCTTACCCGGCACATATAACAACCTAGGCAAAAAGTCATGGAAAAAATCTTCGGCGTTGGTGGATAATTATGCGTTACGCATAAACTACTTTATAGATTGGATTGGATAGATGAGATACATGGTTCCTCATAGATTAGATACTACGATAGATCCTAGATTCGATAGATACATAATGGATGATGTTGGGAGTTCCTCTCTTGTTCTGCTCCGATTAATTAGTTCTACCGATTTATGGAAGCTGCAGATTTGCATTTGTGAGTATGTGGAATAAATATATTAAAAAGGAAAGTGATTGAAACTCTAGAATTGTCTCAAAAATATCGAGAGTAAAATATCGTGTAGACATGGATTTTAGAGGATGTTAAAGAAACAGCTTCAATAACAATAATATCTTCTAGCTTCATGGTCCAGTTCCTTACACCATGAAGATGGCGCTCAAGGGATATAAAGGTGTGAATCCAAGGCAACCACAACAGCAGTCAGACCAGCATCTGGAGAGAGCCGATTACTCAAATGAGACTGTATCTTTGTTTTTATGCCCTCAACCAGGGCTAAACATTTACACCTGCAATCAATCTTGTCATATCCTTTGCTTACTACCTAATCTCATGCTGTGCACCAACGCCCTGAATCGAATATCAAATTCTTGGAAAAAGTAAATTTATGTACACCTCTGCCCTATTCCGTCTTATCCTATCCTATTCTGTCGTATCCTCACGCCGAAGGAGGAATACCATGTCTGAATTTGAGGTCAAATCTTCGCCAGATATCATCGACTCCGGCTCCAGCTTGTTCCGCCTTGGTTTTTGATGTATCCGATCCCGTGGATCCTGTTAAATCAAAGATAAATCATCAGCCCATATTCGCGTACATACACTTTATTTTTCCTGAACTATATGGAGTCCATTTCATCCCCTGTATTCATAGCTTCCAGAGATGTGAGGAGAGAGTATCTCCAAACTGGATAAATTAACTAGCAGTAGCAGCACCACTTCTCGAACTCGAGCCCGGATCTTTTTCAATCATCCCAGCATCAGCTAACTCACGCTTTTTGGCGAGCTTTTTCAGCTGAGCTAGGCGGCGTTCAGCAGCATCTTTTTCTTGAGCTGGAGTGGGTGGTTGTCCGGATAGAAGTTGGATGAAATGGAGACGAGTTTGGGGGATAGACTGTGAGCAGTTAATAAATTGAAGAGGGGGGAGAAGGAAGACGTACGTCATTTCTAGCCTGTGCATGCATCATTAATAATTCTGGGCTATCGAGTACGGCTACTGCTTCTCTCCGTATGATGACGTTGGTATAGGATTCATTTCCGAATCTGGGGTTCGGTCAGATGTATTAGCTTGGGACATATCTCCTCACCTCCTCATTCATATCTTGTTTATTGCCCATTCTATCCTCTAACCAGCAAGATGCCCTTTGCTTCAACACTAACCCGACACAGAACCACCAAGAATGTCTCTGTTCAAGAAAACGAAGATAAAAAAGAAACATACACATCATAACTCCTTCCCGACAATTCATCATCCGACGGTGATTCTTCGTAATCAATATCGTCAGGATCCTTATTCCTTGCTTGCTGATCTTGCTTTAGACGGGCAAAGCTTGAGGTTTTAGAACTAGAAGCAGAAGCAGAAGCCCAAGTGGATTTTTTATTGCTGTTGGGTCTGGAGGAGGGTGTGGGTCGAGAAGGAGTATTATTGGCAGAGTTTGAATTCATGATGGTAGTCGCGCGTAAATTGGTGATTGATGGTATGGATCACAATTAATGACGTGGATATGAATGTGAACGTGGTGGCAGAATATTTATTGATGATGCAGAATGTTCTTTATGAAGTATATACTAGTAACTTTGAAATTATAAGGTTAAGACTTGATCTGATGTTGGGGAGGAGCAGGTGGGATGATATTGACAGGGTCTACGCTAAACTATGGTAGGTAAGGCGCCGCAATCACTAAGCTTCTTCTATCACATTAGCGCTTTACTGTCGACCGTAATCAGACGACATCTCATTGTGCAACAGTGATGTTCACTATCTTTTTGACGACCAGGGTTGGAAAGTTATAATTTTGATTTGATTCGGGGAGATGTGCACTGCTTTCGAAGATATAAAGATTGTATGAACTGAATCTTAGTGTATCTTTCGGGCTTCAGGGTTCGAGAAATATGTCAGATGCAGGAGTACTTGTTACTGAATTGAAACTTCTGCCCTGGCCTGCACGGGTCTTGTGTATGGTTTTTACATGTTTTCTGTTTGAACTGCTCCGTTTGAGCAATTGCTTCTTTCCGTTTGTTCTACTTTCTACTGTCGGCAAGGAAGTGGTTGGGAAAGGCACAAAACACATGCCATGATAAAAGTACTCGATGTTTCATGGCATTCTTTTCTTACTAGGCTTGTTGCTTCCAGTCTCACATGTGAGTCTTAGCAGTAGTTATCATACCCAACTCCTAAGCGATTGCAGCCAGAGCACCAAGTGGATATTCTTACATTAGGACATAGTCCCACGAACTGCGTATGGCTGGTCTTAACTGTCAGATCTAGTGCTAGATGATGATGGGACATGTCTTGTAGCAAATTGCCGGTCTATTACCCGACTCAACATTGCCTTATTCAACATGTTTCTCTCCAGTGTTCTCGACCTCACCAGTACATAATGGTTACTGAAGTGAGTGAACTTCAACCACTTGGATGAATAGTATCCGTTGGAATTATGTCCGCAACTTGTAAAGAGTGCCAGAATTTGGATATACACTGATCAAGGCAAAGTTTGGCCTATCGATTCTCACGCACATTTTAAAATCTATTTCTTCTTGTACTTTACTTTCTGGCAGAAGAAAATTATTCATTGAAATCTCATGTACCATATCAATATCAAAGCTAAGCCTTGTCCTTGTTCTTCATTCCACATGGGCTTCCATAGCGGGATGAGGTATATAGAGTACTTCACTAGCTGTGAATCTGTTTTTAAACATAGGTGAATATTCAAAAATTGCTAATGAGCATTAGGATAGCTTTATTTGACAATTCGTAAAACACCACGGAATATGTAAAAAGGTCTGTAACTTTCTGCCTTTCTGTGTGTCATCAAACTTTGTGTATAGCAATCTATTTTACTAGATGCTTCTCTCTTCAGCCTTGCCAGAAAGTCTTTGGTGTTTTTATTTTGATCCCAACGATGAACCACTTTGTCCAGCTTGTCAACAGATATTCACCTTCAGTTCACAAATTATGATTAGGAGTCTGTGTATGAATAATTGCCAATCAGATATCAGGTCATGGATTTCGAAGCGAGATTTTGATAATATATCCAAAATAAGTTTCAACTCTCCAATAAAATATATTTTTCTTCTCTCCACAACCATAAAACTGTTGAAAAGATGGATTATTTACCCAAAGATATCAGACATAATGCGGTTGACCTAGAGTGTAAGTTCCTCACAAATCTTTATTATATCTATTGTTTTGATGAAAGTATTAATACTGTTCAGTAAAAGCAGTCCTTTGGGACAACTCAGTAACTCAGACCAATGGAAGCCCAGAAAGTTTGCAGGTTTGTGAGTGTAATCTGTCGATAGAAATATGCCTTATAAAAGTTCCTAACTTTGTCCAATCGAGCAGCAAACAATTCGGAAGACCAAAGTCTCGGCGTACTAATACTCAATTTGGCTAATGGTGTGTTGTACCTTTTGTCACCTTGTTTGACCTTGAGCCGATTTTGTTTTCCTTCTAACAACAAGAAGGATTATCTGATATTCGAACCAAAGTTGAAGAAGAGCACAAAGGTTTGTTTTACCTCTGATTAGGTCAAATATTATTGTAATTAACCTATTGTCAGAATTTTTTGAATTAGTCGCGCAAGGACGGATCTTCAAAATGCAACCAACTCAAGAATTTGCATACAATATGATGCGTGGTAAGGGTCTTGGTGCACAGCCTGTATTTCCACCACCACGGGCTTCCACTCAAGATGAGGAGGATTACAGACCGATTGAGCATCTTGAGGAGTAAGTCATCCACCCAATTATTTGTTGCTAATCCTAACCTTCATTCACTAGTAATCTACAATCTGGCGTCAAGTATTATAAAGTCACTCCGAAATCCGATTTTATAAACGATGCAGCTGCTCAAGAGCTTGTGGAAGGAGTCTATCAATTGGGTATTGAGGAGCGTCCGAGATGTGAAATTGTTTTTGATCAAAAAGGTGACGAAGGAGAAACGAACAACCACTACAAGGGAAAACAGGTCTGGGGAAATTTTGGTTACCTCTTTGTTAATGGAACCTGGGTAGATCCTGATAGTGAGAAGGATTTGGCGCATGCATTCAAAGGCTATCCGGTGCTCTCACTAGACGAACTCGAAGGTGCTAGGGCCAAGGATTCTCGAATCATGAGTCCAGCTCAAATGGAGGAATTTTATGACTTCTTTAATGAATATGTCTCCGATGATGAAGGAGATCCTCGAAACAATCGTTTGTCGCTAAAGGAGTTTCAAAATATGGTGCATGGTACAGCCAGCGAAGGTAAAGGTGATACTTGGGCTAAAGCAGTCGTCGCTCCACAAGTAAGAGTTTTAATTGCCTTCAGATTTCAGGTAGCTAATATTTCTTGAACTAGGAGAAATATACAGAGAGACCTAGAGAGCCACGAAATCCTAAAATACAAACTGACATGTTGCCACCACAAATAGATAAAGATACTGGCAGCTATTACTCGGGGTATGGAGGTGATAATTCTGACACGGCCAGCATTCTGCTTTCCGCAGCAGGTTAGTATCTTTTCATGCCTGTGTGATTATTTCTAGCATCTAACATCATCTTTGTAGGCGTTGATATTCTTCAAAGACCTGAACACTTCAATCGCATGGACCCTCGAACTGATATGAACATACTTGCTGAGGCATACGGTAGTCCCAATGCTTTTAAAGATGACAGTGGTTGGTCTGATACAACGATCCTTCCTGTTTTCAATACGGTGAGTTTGAATCTAATTCATCCTACCATTTTACTCTTGTGGAACTGATAATCAAATAGAAAGCAGCTGCTAAAGCTATCACTTGGGATTTACCTGATCTTACTGATGAAGAACGCGAGGCGGGCTTAGCATATATTACGTCGAGAGGAGAGGCACATTTTCAACATAGCCAAGTTATGGCAAAAAACAGAGATGAGCTTAAATCAGACAAGATGATTGCTTTCAGTGGGTTGGCAGGTTGTATGAAGGAGCTTTTCTTCATCAAGCAGTGGTTGAACAATAATTCCTGCAAAGCCAACGATGAAACTCGCAGATTGGTTGATTCTATTTCTTTGGAGGCACCATTCAGACGCACTGAACGCACCATGATCAGCAAGAATGATCCTGCTCCAGTCGCTACTACTGATCCATACCTCGGACTCAGCGATCAAGCCCGAATCTATATGCGTTTGATAAATGACATCTACCAGGATACCAACAATCTTACTCTACATCTTCAGAATCAGGCTATGGTCTGGGGTGCTACCAAAGCTGAGATCGAGGTAAAGATTGGTGAATACTTTGGCTTGCGGGAGAGAATTATGGCAGTTTCTGGTATGACTAATGATTTTATTCAAAGTCTCATCCCTATCGGTGCTCCTCGAACTCCTCGAATCAACTTCTAGGCTTCCCTTGGCTCAATTATAACTTCATTATCCATTGTGCTTTCTTACTAAAAGTCAATTTCGCTATCTTGGATGGAGTTTTGCATTCGAATTTCGATTTTTACGTGCATAACCTCGTCTCTATTCTAAGCAACGGCTCTTCAAGGGACCAAAACGTTCGGACTTCTAGCATTTCTCTGTTGTCTTTACTTTTCGCAGAACGACGTACACGCTTATATTATTAAGGATCGACGGAGTTACACTGCTTTATATCTTTGGCGACAAATGGACTCTACTATTGCTACTAGTGTATCTCGTCGATCTACAACATGGCGCATGCATTTCTTCGTTTATCCTAGAGCTACATGTTCGTTGCATCACGGATTAAATTGCATTTGTATCTGCATCGCTCTCGCTTTTCTCACAATCATGATACCCGGTATATTTCATGGAATTGCGGATGGATGGATGGATAAATTGAGCAGCTCTCTTACAGATTCAAGATGTTTTCCCACTTTTTTTTTTATTAAAAAAAGAAAAATTTCCCTTTCCTCTCCTTTTGTTTTCCTTTTCTTTCCTTATGATCTTCAAGTACAAATTTCTCACTTCTTATTTCTTGTTTTTCAATTCCCTATAATATCTCATGTCTTGTTTCTTTCTTGGATAGGAATGATATCCATTCCGTGTAAGTAGAGTGATACTTGCAGTATTTAATATTTGACAATGAATGCCTAATGAATAATGAATACTGGATTTTATAGAAATTCGATAATATAACCATCATATGAAGTGATGACAGAACCCGATGATGAGGAGGATGAGGGTGGATGGTATGCAGTACTGAATGATCATTTAATATAATACAACAACGCATTTGAGTAATTCAGTATATGGATTCACGAAAGAGGAAGTAGAAAAAGACGATCTAAGGAAGATTCGACATTAAACACCGGAACCGTGAAACGTTGCATGCATGGTTTCATTAGGTATATTCATTCTTTTCCTATATGTGAAAAAGAAGATAAAATCGTGAGTGACATATACAAGATGATGCAGAGAAATCCTGCAAAAACCAGGCCAGCCCTTACATATTTTACCTCAACACCTGTCATATCTTTATAGAGAGGAGTGAGCTGATTTTTTCGTCATACAGCTTACAGTCATTAAACATTCCAACGCCGTTATTTTGTGTCCTACTTGAGTCCGGATGCTCAAGTATACATGACCGTAGTCCCATTTCTAATTATACACTTTGTACATCATAATTCCTCCATTTTATTTTCCGTCCGTTGATCTCCGGTATGTACGGATTATTTGGTATTTCGCTCCCCGCGCGGAAGCATGCTAAGTTTGCGTTCCGTAGAATGTATAGTTTGATTTAAAGTGTTCAAGGGTTCTTGACAACTCCAACCTTAGCAGCTCTCAAAATTCTTCCATTGAGCTTGAATCCCTTTTGTTGGGTGTGGAAAACTGTTCCGTCCTCTTTCCCTGGCATAGGAGTCATGAAGGTAGCCTCATGTTCATTTGGGTTAAATTTCTCGCTCTCAACTGAAGGATCGAATCTCTCTAAACCGTGCTTCTTCAATGTTGACATAAGAATATCCTCGGTCATCTTCAAGCCCTCGTGTAAAGTAATTAAGTCTTGTTGATGCTCATTACGCTTTTCCGCAGGAACGGAGAGCTTCTCTGCAGGAACAGTGGTAAGGGCTCGATCTAAGTTATCGACACTGTCGACGAGATCTTTGGCGAATTTTTGAATGGCAAAGTCCTTAGCAGCTTGCATATCTCGTTTTGTTCGCTCTTGGAGGTTGCGGAAATCAGCGATTGAGCGAAGGAGCTTGTCCTGTAATGTGAGGTTAGCCAAATGATCTCGAGTATATGTAAAAGTCTTTGCCAGCAGCTGAGATTTTCGCGAGCTTATGTCCCAGAAGTATCGTTGCCCAGGTATTCAGTGGAAGAAATGTGAAGTAGTAGTGTAGAAGCAGAATGATGATGGAGGGAGACACAAACCTTTAAATCAAGAATCTCCTTATCTTTCGCCTCTAGGGCCTTCTTCGTTGGGTCCTCTACCTCTGCTTCCTTCTTCTCTGCTTCGGGCTCATCTTTCTTGGCCTCTGGCTCTGTAGCATAAAATCTTCTTCCTTGGAATTGCCTCGACACAACTTGCGCTGCCAGCGGAGTATTATTGTGGAATTGCGACCGCAATGGCTGTCTTGCAGCTGGGTTGCGAATAGTAGAGCTTAGAGCTCGAGATGATTGACGTAGTAATATTCTTGAGTTCATGATTTCGTTGTTGCGAGGTCTGGTATGAAGGCAAATTGATCAAGTTAGGGCCGAATTTTTTGAGTTATGGGTGACTTCGGGATGGAAATTTTTAGTATGATTTAAGGCGGTCAAGAGTGGCAGTAAGGTCATTTTCTCTGACGACATACTTCTTTGAGTTTCCAGACCTCACTTCATAAGTCAGCCAGCAATGTTCAGATCCATCTCCTTGAGGACATGAAAACAAAATTGGAACCTCATGAGAAGATGAAGAATGATTGAATATAGTCGGTGCATATGTACAACAATATGCTGGGTTGGGAGTGCTGGGTGGTAACAATCGTGGTAATAATCGATGTGCGATCTTAAACGCCAGCTCTGCTCCATCTAACGACTGCAATGTATGTTTATAAAGTCATAACTCTATAGGGGTGCCTTGAATGTTCCTGTTGTCAATGTGAGGCATGGAGTTCTTGAATATTAGCACTTCACCGAAACATTTTCTGTAGAAACCATGCTAGTCTTCTCCATACAACCAAAGTCCTACTTCTTACCTACCTTTATATAACATTTGCATTCAGACCCTTTCTTGAACACATTCTCTTGATTTCATTTGCCTACAATCTATTTGCAAGACAATTTTGTACTTGAAGTCTTCCTCTTCCTCTTCCTATAATCACGTGCCAAGCTACTCCCCTACGGATGTGTCAGGATAAGGAGTTGTCAAAACAGGAAAATCAGATGTATATTCAATCATTTGAATAGATTAAATAAGTAGGTATCTGAATAAGAATTTTAGTATTGACAGTATAACCCTTAGGTTGGTGGAGAACAACCACATCAAGCACATACTGTAAGTGATTGCTTTGCCCCAATCACACCCAACCAAGCAACATATATGAACTCTCTTTCAATCAGGATATATTCCTAGGAACATGAATACTCCTGCCTTTATCACAGCTCTTCATGAAATCGGTCATATCCTTCTTAATCAACCTTCTATTCACTCTCTCGGTTAATCAAACCTCAATTCAATACTTTTAGATTGACCAATTTCAACTGCAAAGGGAAATCTTTCAATCCAAATCAACTTCACTTCTCTTGGGAGTTTTTATCATCAAGGAATTTCTATTCTTTGAATACCAAAATTTACTATTTCCTGTAAAAAGAATTCTGCAATAAGTGTAAAGATGGAATCACAAGAAAATATACCACCATGTATGTTATTTGATTTGAAATAAACCCATCACCTTTCCACGTGGAGCAACAAGATCGAAGAGGTTCGAATGTTCATCAATAGGGTCAAATTAATTTTGAGACAAAGACAGACCCTCGAGCATCCTACTGTCCCACGTGGAGTCTTTCGAATTCCACTGACCTTTTTCTTTCTAGATGGAAGTCAGACTTGTACTCCCACTCCAGCAAATATAACCTCTTCCTGTTCTCCAAAGGAGGCTCCTGTTGTTAAATTGACTGTAAGTATTACTTCATTCACCTCACTATCTTGCTCAACCTATTGGTATATCATTCTTCCATTCTTCCAGATCTCAAATTTTATATTTCCAATCTGAACACTTCCAAGCTTATCTGGGTCCATCTTCACTCCTTCGCACTCTGTTGCAGTGGCAATTTGCTCAATCATCACTACTCTATTTCTTCTCACTGTCCTGTTGCTAACTTCTTTTCAAGCGTCAATCATCCACTCGAACAAAGATTACACTCCCTCCATCTATGACTAGACAGGAGTTCAAAGCATTTTCTCAGCAAGTTGACAATAGTTCCCTTGAGGAAGCAAAAAATCATCTCCATAACTTAGTACCTCTATTGCCTGAGTAAGTCACACCTCTCTGCATTTCAACCTCTTTATCTGTTTCAATCTCTATTTTATTACGCGCGAGCTATCCAAGTGGTAATACATTTATCCTCCTTTTTTTTTAGATTATCCGCTTGACTGCGGATTACTAAATGTTTGAGCTATTTATTGACACAAGGTTTGGTGTTTTGGCTGAGTATACTGCTCTTTTATACATCTCATGGTTATTCTAGGTGATGATTTTGGCTCAATGATTGTACTTTATGTGCTGTTTATCACACATGGTTCTTCTCATAGCTACCTCTACTTGCTATTTTCTCCAATACATTATCATTTATCGAGCATAGCTGACCCGCACGATCAGTCCTGTGGAAATCAACAACCGTAAATTGGTAGAGCAAGAAGAAAACAAGATCATTCAAGAAGAAAACAAAAATATCAGACGCGACACTGTTATTTTCTTAAAGCGTCGCACTTCTGAGCGCAAGATCAATCTCGTCACGCCAACATTGACAATCACAACGGAAAGCTTTAAAAACTCATCAACTGTTTCTCCAGCTCCATCTCGAACACAACCTGATTCTGCTACGCCGGTAGAAACGACACATCCAATTTTGGGTTCGACTTCTACCATCAATGCGGCCGCTAATTTCGATACCCTTCATTCTAATGGAAAGCAAGCCAACAAATCCCATGATGATCCAACTACAGTAGAACCTGAGCCTGCAGGTGTCGGCGATTCTGCGATGACGTTCAGTGGACAGCAAAGTGCAACTCTCCGAAGCCACGTTGATGAGCGTGTTACTAGCAACGTTCTGCCATCTTCTAACGGACCAGCTACGCCAGCATCTCCTCGCATTTACAGCATGGCTCAAACCCATAGATCTTCAGGAGTACATAGCGCGCCACCCTCGTCAACCGGCTGGATAAGCAATCCATATGCTTCAAACAGTGGAAGCCCACCTGCTTCCGCTATACGATCAATGGGGGTCTACTCTTGGCAAAGCCAGGACGCTGGTTTGCCTACTCCACCTGTGGTTCCATCCCAAAATCAACCAATAACTCGTTTGTACCCCCTTCACTTCATCCCCGTCTTCACATATCCAACTGCATTATCTCGCTTCCTATTCTTCCCTCTACATATATAAAATGCTTACACTAACACGATCACTCAGTGGAATGGTTATACAGCGCCCCTATTCACTCACCTTTTACATCTCCAGCTGGTAGCCGCCAAACCACACCCGATCTTGTCTATAGCAGTGATGGCTCCGAGCTCGAATTTGGCAAGAGAAAAGCTAATGGTCCCGCAGATAACGAGCTTGGGCACAAGAAAGTCAAGTCTGAAGTTCCCAGTGCCGAGGATACTGATGGTACTGTTATTTCGTCTCCACAACAATAAGATACTAGAAGGACATCAATGGCAAAGATAGACATGATTAATCGGACCATTCATACCGCGTCAACTGATTACATATAAATGCCTCATCAATCATTTTTGATTACTTCACGACTTACGACCTTTTTCGCAACTACAGCACATGTTTCGGCAATATACCCCAGCGTTACGTACATTCGAATCCCCATACTTCTCGCATCTACACTTCCATTATATCATCTCAGCGTCTACCCAACCATCACAATTCCAACACAACAAAGCAGGAGTAATAACCAGCATCTGCTTCAGGTTTCGAATGTGTCGATGGAGTGGGATTGGAACTATCTCTTCCTATTGACAATCTACTTTGGTTTGTTTATTCGAATCGTGCAAATTGCAGGTGCTGGATACAATCAGGGTGGATATTCTTTTACTCTTCTACTCTTTATGCAGTCTTTAGTTTTTCATGGAGGGGGATTCTTTTTTTTCTATCTTTTACTTTTCTTGCATTGTACATCCAACATCCTACATAATTGTACTTCCGCATGATAGATAGACAAGATCAGAACAAATCAAATAGACAAGATAAAATACACAAGAAAAAAACCTACCAAGGTATGCTAGGTTACAGCTATCTTCCAATCTTAATTAATTACTTCCTTGAATTTATAAGTATTATTCAATTCTCAAAACTTCGTAAATACCTACCTGTTGAAAGACCACATTCTAAGATCATTCATAAAATAATGTCTGCAGCAGAATTTTTCAAAAATTTCACAAATCACAAATCACAAGCCAATAAACCTACAGAACTGATAGAAAAATTCATAATTAATCCTTCTATCTGCTGAAATAAGACCTACTAGTGCATACAAAAAGCAACTTTTTAAAAAGTAGCTCCGCTCAACCCCATGAACTCAGTACAGACGAAAGCCCAAACTACGCCCTCGGTGACCCATGAGGATAATTGCAAATAGAATCTCTCTTTTTTCCGCTGTATCATATTCATACCACATGAGCATCAATCATGACCAGTGAAAACGGAAGCCCTTTCCGATATGTGTGACTGCTCTATGTGCCGAATGTGAAAATAGAACCTCAGAATTCATCATGTTTGCTTACATCTAGATATCGACCATGATTATTTACTGAGGCGATAACCCGTTCAACTGACAATCTTGTATGTATGTGCTTGCTGTGTGAACGTAAAAACGCCAACCTTTCCCCCGATGTATCAAAACCCTCCCCCAACCCAAACTGAACGAAAATGTATTTGATTGTGCCTGAAATCTTAACGCTATAACGGTGAAGTATATGTAGTAGGTTTAGTGTGAAAATGTTGTTTCATGGTTTTTTATTCCACGGAATAGAATCTCCAATGGCCAACATGCTGCTGTTTGGGATATCCAACGTCGTAGCATTTGATCTCTAGATGCATTCTCCAGTCTCAAGTTGACACAAGAGATGCTCAATTTCTGGCCACTCCGAATGAAAATCAAACTTCCCCATGGGAGTTCTCTGCATATCGGCATGAAATTCGAATTCAAGGTTGTATTGATGCTGGAATTCATAAAATACTGTTGTGCGATCTTCAGTATGGGGAAAACAATCAAATGAATCATCATCAGAAAGTAAATCCTTGATAAGTCTAAACAAGAATTCCTTGATAGCACGTACGTACTCGTGATTTATTTTGAAACAAGCCTGAAGGCATCGATCGACAGCTTGCAACATCTGGTCGTTAGGACGGAATTTGATGGTGCATATAACTGTGCTGTCCGGGTTGGTGCGATTTCCATTACTAGTCAAGGCAGACTTGAAGATAAAATAACTACCAGTCTTTTTTGTAGCTTCACATATATCTTGTCCTTCAAGGGTATGTAGAAGGTTATTTCGCCGAGCCCATGCTGCAAGAAGTTGTGGAAATGCTCCGCTGCGACAGTACATCGCGAAAACCTTTTGGCGATAGGTGTAAGCTGACCTCTTAAATGTAGCCGCAATTGAAGGAGGAGTATTGAGAGTGCCATAGTAGTGTATTTGATACGCAGTAGGGTAATCAACAGTAGTTGTCTCGGAATTACCCACGCACTCCTGGCAAACTTCAGCATGGGCAAGGCTTCCCGCTAGGAGACATGCAACCGAGCAATACATGACACCACTATTGGGCCCGCAGCCATTACAAAGGACCATAGGACAGTCTGCAGTTGCATAATACCCCCTAGCACAATAAGTGCAATCGAATGGGATCTGAACTAAATTTGGTTCCACATGTCTATAAGGACCTACATGGAGAATGCTACTGGTCGATAGTTTTTGCCGACTCCAACCGTTAGAGAATTCGAAAAGACTATTTTCCAAGAGATCAAAACTACCCACACTTGCCTTCTGAGTGAGTCTCTGATTTCCTGCAAAATTAGATACCGCGAAATCCAGATTCGGAGAATTCAAACCCATGAAAGAAGGATGGAAGCCACGAGGCTGAGGACCATGAATAGTCATGGTTGAACTGATAATTGAACTGGGTTTACTGAAAGAAGTTAAGGTGGCTTCCTTAGATGGCCGAGATTCTTCAATACCAGTACCAAACTCTAAAGGGCATGAATCTGAAACTTGAAGGGCATTGTTAACAATGGTATCCAGTGAGACAACGTCAGAAACCGGTGTGGTAGTGTCTGCAGATATATAGGAAACAGTTTTATCTCTGGATATACTGTCAACTGAAATGGTGTTGTCAACGACAGAATCCAAAGACGTACTTTCAGCAACAGATAAACGACGAGCTGCAATAGCATTACCAACCGTTAATGCCTCAGACTTCATACTAGCAACAAACATCTTATCAACAGGCATCTTATCAAGAGATATTCCAGTAACAGACCTGCGCCTCTCAATGAACGAAACAGAACCGGATTCTAGTGGCTTTAGTTTATCATCCCTGGTTGTAGTGGAAACAGCGAACATTGTTGGGCTAGCAGAAGAGCTTCGATATTGTCTTCGTCGGCTAGGAGCATCAAGGAAATCCCCGAGATAGATTGGTGCGTCATACTTCAAAGTCATTCCACGCTGAGGTGTAGACTTTTCAGCAGGGCTTGTTGCAATATCTTCGGCTTCGTATCTGGTATTTATTATGCTAGGCAAATCAACATCCTTGGCACTTTCATTGATAACCTTCGTTACTCTGATTTCATCGGCTAAATGACGACTGGCATCAACATTTTCGGGAGAATTGGTACCAGTAGCGTTAGGAGTGTCCTCAGCATTAACTTCTATAGATAGGAAAGCATGTTTTGTCGGAGGTATGGGTGCCGATACCATCACTGCATCCTGAACCACCGGCTTTGTTAGATTATGATCAACGTTAGCTCCTACATCAGGTGAAAGCTCCGCCTTTGATACAGCGTGTTGTCCAGCTACGACTGTAGGCTCTAGCTTTGCCCAAGCGTCGAAGCCCGTTTTTAGTTCAACCCGTCGTTCCATCATTTTTGTATGTTCTACCTTAGTCGTAGCAAACTTTTGTTGTGTAGTATTTTTCAGAGAAGAGATTGCTGGGAAATGTTCGAGGCTCTTGATCTCCAACTTTTCGCCAAGTTCTGTGGTAGTAGCAATTTGGCCTAATGCTTTAGTGGGCATTCCTCCCTTTCTTTTTTCAATGTTCTGGTTTAGTCGAGCCTTGATAGCAATGGAAGTATTCTGCTTATCTGGCTTAGGAGAATGAACTGACCGAGACTGACGGGCAGCTCGTGGTATCTTCTTAATAGGCCTGGGTTTCACGACTTCCCAGCTGGTGTTATCGTCAACCACTGAATTTGTAGAGTCGTCCAAATGGTAATTTAAGTGATCATGTGCAATAGAATGAGAAGGCTTTTCCGTCATCTTAGCAGTTGGATGCGTAGTTTCTGATGCTGTAGACTCGAGGTCTTCTTCTTGCCTAGCAACCTTCTTTGCGTTGCTTTTTCCCTTCGTCTTCTTCTTCCTCTTCTTCTTATTCGAAGCTGTCTCATTGCTTGGTACCAAATCTTCTGGAATCGACAGCGGTGAAATTGAACGAGGTTTATTATCAAGGGTGATTGTTTCAGGGACGACGGTCTCATCGGTAGGCTCACAAAGTCTTTCAATAGAAGTAATGCCTTCAAGGAAGGTAGATTCCTGGACAGGCTCATCTAGGGTTGGAACCGTACGAATGTGTGTGATTGACCAGGTTTGTGACCCCATTATCGAATCTAGTCCGTGAATGTTGATATTGTGAAAAAAATCATCTAAAGCGCTCCTCTCCGCAGCTTTTCCTGCTTGCTCTTTATTCTTTTCCAAGGTATTGAGTTTATCGATGTATTCATGGTATTTTGCGGAACGTCGAACATCTGTACCACGAACTCTGGCAATTGTGAAGCTCGACTTTCCGAGTTGTTTTTCCTTCTCTACACGAACTAGCGCGTCTTCTATCTCGTTTATTTTTATGACTTCCACCAAGAACAAATTGAGAATTGCTTTCGTTTTGATATCATCAAGCTTATCTGACTCCTTGGGTTCTCCATACAGGTTGTGGTTGAGATTTTGTCCGTCTGTACGTGTGATGTGGAAGGAACTCGATGTGGAGCCTTTTCCATCTGCTAGTGTATCTGGCTCCGTAATATGGGCGTAATATGCCGCATCTTTGAACCTCCCTACCGGAGTAAAAGTCATCTGCTAGAGCCCGGAACTCGTATGAATTTGGCTTGATTCCGCTCTGGGTAAAAATAGTTTCTGATCGTTGTTAATACGTATACATTTAAAAATGGGTTCAGACCTCACCCATTTCAAGAATTTCTCAAGCCACTCTATCCTCTGATTTTCC